AATTGCCTCAGTGAAAAGCATCCAGGAACAGTGCAGAGTAAATGAGATGATGGTGTATGTTTCCTTTCTGCCTTTCTGATGTGTGTGTCAGACAGCCGTGCCTGCACCATCACCAGATGGGCCCAGGCCAACCAAATGGCCTGGCCAGTCTGGCAGGTCTCCTGGCCTCCTGGTGACAGAGTGTGGCGGGAGGTGGAGCTGGCTTCCACTGCTTTATGAATGATCCCAGAGAATGGTTTAGTAAATTTGGCTTTAATTTTTATTAACGTTCTTTTCCTCTATTTTTATTTTAAAAGCATATCCAAAGATACCCCAGATAATTAGTTTCCCACTGTGGAAAGGAAAATAAAGCTTGAATTACTAGGCAGTGAGTAATAAGAGAAAACTTTAATTATAAGCTTTATGATAAATGTTAGAGGATAGCTTCTAGGATTCCAGATGGCTTAACCCTTTGCACTCAGATGTTGAGTGTGACTCGACACGGTTAGCAAAAATTACAGAGATTAAAATTACTCTTTGAATGTATCAATAATTTGAAATATAAAACAATCCAAATAAATAAGTTTGTATGAAAAGAAATTCCAGTTTTTTATTCTACTGCCGCACTTTGTAAAATCTGGGGTATTTAAAAAATTAAATCCCGAGTAGAATAAAGGAATTGAGAAAAAAGCAAGCGAGTGCAAAGGGTTAAACCTTTCCATTTTCAGGAACTGTTTTGTGGCTGCTAATGAGGTGCATGCAGAGTACTGGGCATCAGCCCACTGCAGGCATAGGTAGGTGGGCACCCTCAGTCAGTGGCATTTATTTCAGAGGTCCTGGGTTGTTTTGCAGAGACTAGAGTGTGTCCAAGAGGGGAAGGCCAACTGTAGGAACATGACCTGGTGCTTGAGTAGTGTTATTGTTGTTAAACAACAGCTTTAGTGAGATAGAATTTACATACAAAAAATTCACTCTTTTAAAAAAAAGTGTGCACCTCAGTGGTTTTTAGTATAGTCACAGACTTATACAATCATGACCGCTAACTCTAGACATTTTCTTCACCCCAGAAAGAAGCCCCATACCCTTAGTAGTCACTGATCCTCACTTCCCGTAGTCCCTGGCAACCGCTAGTCTACTTTCTGTTCTTGTAGGTTGTCTACTCCATACATTTCATATAAGTGGAATCATATAGTATATGCTCCTTTTATGTCTGATTTATTTCACTGAGTGTAAAGATTTCAGGGTTCATCTATGTTGTAGCTTGTGTCAGTGCTTCATTCCTGTTTGTGGTTGAGTAATATTCCACTGCATGGATGTACTGATTTTGTGTATCATTCATTGGTTGGCAGACATTTGGATTGTTTCCACCTGTTGGATGTTGTGAACAGTGCTGCTGTGAACATGGGTGTACAAATACTTATTTGGACATCTCTTTTCAATTCTTTTGGCTATATCCATAGATAAAGAATTGATATTCTGAACACGTCATCTCATGTGTTGTGACACCTATGTACACACTTGTGCTCACACTCTATCCATTGTGTGTACACCTCCCCCCGCCCACCCGAACCATTTGGGGACAAGTTGCACACGTCAGGACCCTAAGCCTTACAGATACTTGAGGATTTTCTAAGAGCGTGATTCTGCATAACCACAGCAGTTACCCATCTGGGGAAATTGATATGATACTTTAACCTGCCAAAGTATTCCAGTTTTGTCTGTTGACCCCACAATATCCTTGACAGCACATTTTTTCTTCCTAGTAGATCATCCCCTCTAGGATCCACATTGTGTTTAATAGTAACATCTCTTTTCCCTTCCCAAATGTGAAGCAGCCACTGTGCCTTTGTCTTGTGCGACTGTGACATTGTTGATGCATTCTGGCTCCCTGTCCCCATGTTGGATTTATGTGGTATTTCCTCCTGAAGAGACACACATCCTCGGGGTATCACATCTGGACCTCGCCTCTTCTTGGTGACATTGATGTCATCACTCAGGGGCTGTCACTGCATTGTGGCGACTCTGCCCGTGTGTAATGCGTGCCTGTGGGTATACATCAGGCTCTGCAGGACCCTGCTCCTTGAGAGCACGTGAGACTCAGCCTTGATCAGCCCCTCTCACCTATACTGGTCCCACTGTGAAAGCTGCAGAGTGATGGCTTTCCAACACTAGGACCCTCCACCTTCCCCAGCCAGCACCATTATACTCAAGAGCCCTCTGTCATTCGTGCATATGTCCCTTTATGTGCTGTTTATTTAAATTATATTTATTTATATCTGTTATTGGAATGGAGTCATGCATTCTTATTTTTTCACAGTGCATAATTATTTACTCTTCTTAATTATCTTAATACTCAAATTGTCCTAGATTTGGTTACTAGAGCCCTTCAGTGTCTCCTTTGGCTGTGACCCCCATCATGTTCTTGGGGCCTTTCTTCCTTTTAGCAGAACTGTGTATTCCAGGCTCATCCTGTCTCTGCCCCAGCCCAGCTCTGCTGTTTCTCCCAGGAGCCTGACTACTTTTCAAGGGTGTTGGTACCAAAGGCCAGATTTGGTGCCAGGGGGACTGCAGCCACTTGAGCCACCTTTTCCATACTCTTTGAGCAGGCAGAGCTCGGAATATATAAATATGTATGTCTGTCATTATGCGCATGCGTGCGATATGTGTGTGTACACACAAGCATGCCCGTGTGTGTACATACATACATATCTACTTATACCTAGTGCACATGTGTATACATGGGTACATTCACATCCTTATTCTTATGTTAGAAATCTCGGGTTTACACTGATACTTTCAGTTCCTGTCCATTCCCATGGGGTTCTCCTTGCTTGCTGTACCTCCCTTCCCATGCTGCAAGAACTTGGGCTCAAGGACATCACACGTTTCCTAATATACTCAATTCATAAAATATCCAAAATAGTTTCAGAATGGCTTTACCCAAACCACTGCAAAAACAACCTACTAAAAAGATCTGTTTTTAGTCCCCCCCCCCATGAAGGTGTGTAACACATGAGGTTTATGAAATCAGTGTTGCCGTCCTCACCAGGGGGTCTGGGAAGGGCAGGAAGGGCCGTGTCACCCTCATTTAGTCAAGAGTTAATTATTAAGCACAAAGGAAATGATGAAGTCATAGTCAATGCTAACACCAGGGTTTTTCATATGCTTACAGTTAGGTACTTTTGGGCTCTTCATGGGGTTTAAAAGGCATTAGTGTACAGGAGAGAGTTGGGTTACCAGGAAACAACAAAGCAATTAAAACGCCTTGATTTTATCATATGGGTTCCTGCACAAAATAATTGAATTAGCCTCAGTTCTCAGACATATGCTTAGAGCAGGGCATGGATTTGGATGGAGTCCCTGCCGGGTGAGCTTATCTCATCCTGCCTGTCTCACAGACACCAGCTCTGGCATCTCACAGTCGAGGAGACTCCAGAGACAACTGGCCCAGTGTCTGGCTCAATAAGGGTCCCTTCCTGTTAGGTCAAGAACCCAGCCTTGCACTTGCCCTTCCTCTGGGCCTGTGGCTCACCTAGTACATGTCTGTCATCTGCTGGACTGTGTCACAGGTCAGGACTCAGTGGCAAGGCTATGTCCAGCCCCATCAGCCTTGGGCAACTACCACCTGAAGAAATCTGGGGCTGAGGGGGGCCTTAGAGGGGCAGGCCTGACACTTCTGGATGATCAGAGTAGTGTCTGTTGGTGCAGGAAGGAACAGGTTTGTCCTGGTGGTCAGAGGTGGAGTAGAACCCCTGACCGCAGCTGCTTCTGTTGTAGCACAGGGAAGGACTCCAAGAAAGTTGTTGCTGGGCCAGGTGGCGGATTGACCTAGAGGCATGAATTCCCTGTCCTTTGTTTGATGTTTTAGAGCTCTGTCGGCTGTAGTTCCTGGGGGGCGGGGGTCTCCATTCTGTCTCGTTGACCTTCCGGCACCCACAGTTCCTGATGTTACATGATTTCTGCATCATATGCTTTTGCCCACAAGATACCAGGGGTGCCAGTGCTGTGGAGGAAGGAATGTGGCTTTGGAGCTGGGGAGAGTGAGGTTTAATTCCTGGTTACACCATTTACCATTTAACATTTTGAGCAGAAATAGACCCTAGTTGTACCAGTTTCTTCATCTGAGTAATGGGGATGATATGTACCTTCTGGAATCATTGTAACAGTCAGAGACTAGATCTTACTCTCTGTCTTCTTCCTTGTCTGTCTCTCCGTCCCTGCCCTGTCAGAGATAAAAGGTAAAAAATGTTGAGTCTCTATAGTCTATGCATATTTTTAAAGCAGCTGTCTGTCCATTACCAGTTTTCAAACTGGGCAGGAACGGTGAGCCTGTTTGCTGAGTGCTTTGCATGTAGTGGGTGCCCAGTGGCAGCATAGCTCATGCCTCCTTTCTCCGGGGGTCTCTTCCTGATGGCAGCCTGAGGTCAGAAGGAGGACTTAGTATCAAGCACTCACCTTATAAAAATGTCACCCTGTATGACCATGTCCTCTGCACTGGGGAGGAGCACCACTCGGGAGGAGGGTGAGTCCATGTCACTGGGGCCTCAAAGGGGGCTGAAGGGCAGAACATCTTAGGACCTCTCCACACTTTGCAAAACAAGGGCTGTAAGGTGGTGTTTGCATCCTTTTCTGGTGTGGTGACTGACAGGGTGGGCCCTGGAGGGGCGAAGGGAACACTCCAGCACCCGAGTGTTCTGCAGGACAGCACCACGTGTGAGCCTGGTGTGGCCACCCCACGGGATCCTCCACTTTCACTGGACCTGTGGTGCATGTAGACTGTCGTGGGAGGCTGTCGGCTGTCCTGTTCTCAGGCTTTCAAGCCGGGTGTGTGTCAAGAGAGCAAAGCCCTACGTGGACGTGAGTCCTTGGAGATGCTGCTTCTGCAGTTCACAATTTGGAAAAGACTCTCTGAGAGGAACCCTGCCCTGTGGGGACTAGGTCACAGGGAGCACAGGCACCTCCTTGCTGTCTAGCTAGGCCTTCCGCACCCACTGGCGCACAGCCTTGAGGAGAGAGAATGTTTGTTAGGCTCACTGCATGGTTTGGTTTAGGCTTAAGTTTTGCCATATCCATTAACCATGTGTTCTCTTTCCAGATATTTTTTTTTTTTTTCTACAAGATCTGGTTTCCAGATCTATTTTAGATATTTTCTTTAAATTGCCTCCCTTTAAATTTCTTTATAAATCAAACGTTAATTATTGTAAACAAAAAACAGTATCGTGGAAAATAACCATTAAAAATAATTAAAACTAAAGTGGTTCATTTCTCTTTTGGGGAGCCCTGCCCCAGCTCCTTGTGCGTGCTTCTGTGAAGACTGCGCCTGGCGTCCAGGGCTGTGGGGCCTGCTCTGGCTGTACTTGGTAGTGTCAGGGATGTGGGCCTGCTGCAGATGGGCGAGGCAGGAGTGGGAGCAGTGGCGGCCAGGCCTCAGCCTGTACCATGAGGGTGAGGGCTTCCCAGCCAGGGCTCTGAGCACCCTGAGTCGCTGCAGTACCTCAGCATGGGCCCTTTAGAAAGTGAGGGTACGTATGTAGATACTGGGCAAGACTGAGACCCGCCGTCTGCGTTTGTAATAAAACTTGTTTTGGTGCCTAAAGACCAAAGTGCCAGGCAGCACAAGTGTGTTACTATGGCATTGTGGACATCCAGGTCATGCCCAGTTTGCTACCTGTAGGCCCATAAGAGGGTTCTCTGGGCCGGTAGTGAGTTCTGTGAAGCTACGGGGCTGTGCTTTCTGTGTGGAGGAGTGGTTCTCTCTCTGAGGGCCCCACCCGTGCTCACCCTGCACCCCACTTAGAGCCCCTTAGAGCAGGTGGAAGAATCAGCACGTGACCCTTTATTGACAGAGGCTGAGCATTATCAGCAGTCACCAGTTATCTGTTTTTACATTTTAATGAGAATGTTTACACAGCACCTCCTTGACCCCACTGTTATTTTCCTAGAGGTGACTTCTCAGCCACTCAGCCAGTGTTTTACTGCGGCACCTCGCTGACAGTCTCCTTGCACGTTAGAGAACAGCAAAGACTGTTGTAAACAAAACAGCGACTAACAGCATCTCAGAGCTGTGGGTGAGTGTCCCATTCTGGGAGAGCCCTCCTGGCTGATACAGACCGAGCTGCCCCTGGCGAGGCTGCAGCAGAGCAGTTGGTGCTGTTCTGAGAGGCGAAGGGTGCTCAGGTGTGTGAGAGCACACGATTTTCCCTTCCTCTTTGACTTACGGTTCGCTGGTTAGCTAGTGAACTACAGATCATAGCATGGAGACACACTGCCATGTCCAAGGTAGATCAGGTGAGTGCATTCTGTCTCCAGGCTTCATTTCCTCCCAAGATGGCAGATTTATTGTAGGTTTACCTCGTAACTAAGATATTTCATCCTAAGTGGCCTCTCCACTTGGCTTTTGTTGGACAACATCAAGAATTGCTTTTGGCTGTGGGACATAAGTGTGCAAAGAGGAGCCAGAGATAAGCTGGTCACCAGTGGCCCTTTGATATTGGAGTCCCATGGCCTGCAGTGAGTGTTTCTGGGTTGTAGTGCAGTGCAAAATCAAGGAGAGCTTGTAGTGAGGTTTCCTCAACAGCCCCAAAGGCGAGCGACCAAGGAAGTGTGACTGTCACTGAGGCATTGAAGAGACCGTAGCAGTGTCTGACTGAGGTTTAGAAACGGCGTGGCCTGTCCTTCTGCCCTCCGCGCCCTGGCTGTGTGCTATTCCCAGGAGGCATGCCACCTCTGGCTCTGTCTTTGCAACTCTTCACACTGCACTGCTGAACTTCACATCCGACTGCTCTGTGCTGTCTGGGATGACCGCCTTCAGGGCAGCATGACAGAAGCGATTCAGAGCCGGCAAGCTTGTTTTCTGTTCAATGTACAGCCTCAGCTTGTCCCTGAAGGTCTCCCCGAGAAAACTGTAGATGAGGGGGTTCAGGCAGCTGTTGGAGAAAGCTGCGAGGTTGACGATGTGGCTAGTCAAGGGGTAGGCGTGGCGGAAGGACTGTGTGCAGGGTGCAGCCCCTGGCTGTGCCTGCTGCAGGAGGTGGACGCTGATGAAGATGTTCTCTGGCAGCCAGCAGATGAAGAAGACGAGGACCACAGCCAGGATCATCCGCAGGGCCTTCTGCCTCCGTGGGCGCAGGCCCCGGTGCTTGTGGGCCTTGACCAGCACACGTACTATGAGGGAGTAGCAGAGACCAATGATGGCAAAGGGGACCACAAACCCCAGGGTGACCTCTAGCCACTGGACCTCCCTGACATCCGCAAAGCAGAAGCAGAGCTCCTCAGTGTGCTGTAGCTGGACAGCGGTGAAGGGCACTAGGGTGGCAGAGACGGAGGCCATCCAGATGAGGCCGCAGCTCAGCCTGGCGTGCTGCTTGGTTCGGAACAGGCCGGCGCGCATGGCTCTGGCCAGTGCGATGTAGCGGTCAAAGCTCATCCAGGTGAGGAAGAAGACGCTGCTGTACATGTTGATCTGCAGGAAGAGGGACATGAAGGTGCACAGGACAGTGATGTCATAGTACTGCTCGTCCAGGTTGAACACCTCGATCAGGGAGTCCGCCACCAGGATGAGATCTGCCACTGCTAGGTTGATGAAGTACAGGTCGGGGATTGTCATCTTCTCGCGGAAACTGATGTTCACCACCAGAATCAGGATGTTGCCCACAAAACCAATGGGGAAGAGGAAGATGGTATACAGGCACGAGAGGAAGAGGCCAATCACATACTGTTGGTGCTCGGATAGGTCCCCAGTTTGGTTCCCAAGGCTGGTGCTGTGGAATGGGTGGGACAGGTTGGGTTCCGGAGTGGTGCTGTTGTGGGCTGCAGGCTGCAGGGTGCTTGGGTAGAGCTCCATGCCAGAGCCGCAGCCTCAGATGGCCACATCCAGTCTCCACACTGTGCAGTGTTCAGGATTTGCCGAAAGGCTCACAGAAATCTGTTTTAAACAACGAACCCATCTTTACAAAGGAAGGTGGCTCTCTTTGAAGTGAGCCAGACATTTGTAAAACAGGAAAGCACATCACAGGGGCGTGAGTGACAGTTTGGGTTTGTTAATTCTCTGTCATCGTCACCTTAAGGAGTTAACTGGAGGCTGCCCGTTCGGTGGTCCTTTCCTGGGGGCATCTGCTGTGTTCAAAACGCACCTGTGCCGCTTCTCTCTGTGCACCTGGGAGGGGACGGGAGAGGTTGAGTCTCATTGTATGGCCTCGCCTACCGGCAAAGCCTGATGCTGCCGGCCAGGTGGCAGTACTCTGTAGTGTGTCCCATGAGTACTTGGGAGTGGGCAGAGCTTTGGGGTTTTATTATCTCGGAGAGGTGGTTGTCACCGAGGGGAAGCAGAAGAGGCAGATGTGGACAGTGCCCTGTGTTCCCTGCTCAGTGCTCCCCTGGCTGCCGAGTACAAGCTGGGCTGGGACCGTGAGTCACCCTTGCAGGCTGGGTGACCTTCCCTAACGATCAGATCCAGGCTCATGAAGTCACATGGAGGCTGGGTATGGGAATCTTAGGAAAACTACTCCTTACTAGGAGAGGAAGTAAAACTTAGTCCAGCAGCTATTGGGAAGAGAGATGAGATGGGAAGGAAAAGCTCAGTGTTTCTGAAAGTGGATCCAGAAAATGTCAATTGTGGAAATTAAAGCAGAATCTTTTCTCTTACAATAAAATATATAAAAGAAATTTAGCTTTTTAGCTAATGCTAGTTCTAAGTTTGAGTGCTAAAACTAACACTTTTTTTCATAACTGAAAGAGAATAAAGAATAAAATGGTCATCATTGATTTAGCAAATGGTTTTTAAAATTTTATTCAGTGTTGTGACACATTGTTTAAGGCCTAATATATTTTTGTAGTGGTGTTTGTCACCTAAAAACTGGGTAAAGAAAATCTCCTTCAGCATCTCGTTTATGGCGGGATGGACGACTGGGTGCGGCTCTGCGACTGCTGGGGGTGGAGGGGTTTCCTGTCGCTTGCTTGAGTCACTGTGCGCCTGGAAGCTCTCCATGGAGTGAAGCAGGGTCCTCAACCAAGGGACCTTGGCAGTGTCTGGACACGTTGAGGGTGTCACAACTGGGGTGCTGCTGGCACCTAGTGGGTGGGGGCCAGGGGTGCTACTGCACATCCCACATGGCACAGGACAGCCGTTCACCTCCCAGCAGAGAGTTATAACCTGGAATAAACTGACTTGTCCCATGAAAATGGATTTGGGTGGTTTTTATTTTGGGAGTTTTTATTTTACCCTTTGAGATCATTAGGAATTATTTTGAAGTGTTGAAAACCAGACTAGAGATTTATTGACCTAGAGGTTGAAAGTACTGTTTTATGGAAAAAAGGGAAAAGAAAAAGATAAATCACTGCCTTGGTATCCGTCATTATTTTAAAAGTATTCAATAACATTTGCTTAGCTGGGGTGGACACGTTTGCTTTTATTAGTTATTTTGCATTCTTTATTTATCTCTAGCAGATAATACCAATTTGAGCAAGTAAATGTCACTGTCGCCAGACTGTGATAGTAAAGCCTCTGTGTTTAATCTCTTCTTAAACACTGCCTCAGTGCTTGTTTTGCTCTTTACATGTGGGAATTCTAGAAAGTATTAGATTGTAGGTTTAGAGGAAAGTTAAGGGTGAACAGAACACTTAACATATGTTTGTTCTCTTACCTAAATTTGTTAAATAAACTCTGGGGAAAAACAGTTTAAAAATGGAATCATTTGTTTCTTTTCCATGTAAATGAGTCTTGTGATCCTTGACAAATACTGTTATTTTCATAACAGTCTAATGAAAAGATTAGAACCTAGCATAAGATTTCCTGCTGGCCCAGTATTCTCATTAATATTGATCATAAGTTTATAAATAAAAAGGTGAACATTAAATAGTTTGATATTTTATTTCTGTTTTCCACTGCTTATTCAACATATCTAGAAAAATAAGAGCACATTTTTGTCAGATCTCTTAGACATCTTTATAAAGGAATATTAATCCATCTGTGGCTCTTTGGGTTGTAAGAGGGACTAAAGTGCTAACTATAGTGCAAGGCAGAGCCATGGAAATCTTATTTTTTGAAGCGAGACATATTGTTGCTTTAACAGAATGTGACAGCACACTGTCTTGGTGCTGGCAGCGTGTGCTATGAAAGATGTTCCAGGCAGAGCCCCTGCTGTGGTCGCGTGGAGACCACCGGAGCTGCCCGGTGTTTCTCACTGGACAGTGAGAAAATACCTTGCGTTTTGGAAACTGGATAAACATCTCAGAGGGTGAGGTGTTGATCCATGTCTGTGCCTTGTACCTTGTACCGAAGCAGGGCTGCAGCCCAGGTGAGACACCCCCACCCGTTTATCCCAGGGCCCAAGCACTGGGCTTACCTGTGGGCAGACTCTGCATGTCCCTCGGAGCCTCCTTGGCTGGTGCTGTCAGGCTCGAGGTGCTCTTGCAGGTGGAGCACCGTCCTGCAGGTGGAATCCAACCTGCGGAATGATGCTGAGCAAGAGTGAAAAAGAAAAAAGAGACTCCTCCCTGGGGAGTGCTGGTGGGGAAGGTTCCCCCAGGGAAGCTCCTGCCTAGTCTTCAGCCCCTGTGGCACCAGGCTTTATAGGCTTCCCAGGCCCGCTCTTGGCCTGGACTGGCTCTCAGGACTGGCTGGGCTGAGCTTCCTTTTAAGGCTAGCATTAACCACTTTTTTGCTGGCTTTTTTTCCTCCCATGCTTTGGTAATGAGCTCAATCCCACCAGACATTTTTATGGAAGTTTCCACTATAACTGCTTTTCTTCACCCATTGATACAAACTTTTTTTAAAGTTCGAGAGGATTGTACTCTTTATCCTTTAGGTAATAACCTATCATTGTTTGTTGAAACAAGCAATATTCTTACATATTTTAGCAACTGACTGTAAAACCAAACATAAATTTTGTAAGTTAACACAGTAGCATGTGAATAAGACATAGAGAATTTAACTTAAAAATTTCACGAAGACATTTGTAGAGAGAAATTTAAACCCAAGAAATAGCAGGCATTTTTGACAAGTAAATTAGGAACCTAAGTACAGATTGAGCCATCCCTAATCCTGAAATCTAAATATTCAAAACTTGAAATTTTTTGAGCACCACGATGCCACAAATGGAAAATTGCACACCTGACCTCATGTGACAGTTCACAGTCAAAATGCAGTCCAAACTTTGTTTCATGCATAAAATTACTAAACATACTGTGTATAAAATTGCCTTCGGGCTATGTGTGTGTGAAGTGTATGTGAAACATAAATGAATCTTGAGTTCAGACTTGGACCCCATCCCTAAGATATCTCATTATGTGTATTTGCAAATATTTCAGAATCCAAAAAATTCTGAAATCCAAAACACTTTGGCCCTAGCATTTTTTTTTTTTTTTTGAGACAGAGTCTCCCTTTGTTGTCCAGGCTAGAGTGAGTGCCGTGGTGTCAGCCTAGCTCACAGCAACCTCAAACTCCTGGGCTCAAGCGATCCTTCTGCCTCAGCCTCCCGAGTTGGCCCCAGCATTTTGCATAAGGGAGGCTCCACTCATAATTTTTCTCTAGGTGTCAGCTGTGTCTCAGTGCAATAGCTGTCCACCCCATCCACCTGTCTCCTGGATGTCGGTAATTGGCTGAAGAGGCCTCTCCCCACTGTCGTTGTTGCCGATTTGTTGACCTTGTGTGGCCAGAGGATTAACTCCCCACCTTCCCAGTGTCTGAGCAGCCCTGTGTTTGGGCTGCTCTCTCGAAGTGCTCCACCTGCTGGCAGTTAGAATTCTGCCGGAGTTCTGAGAGGCGCAGCCCCAGGGAGGACAGGGAAGGGCCCAGCGCCTGCCAGTCTGTCTGCTGTGAGGACTTCAGGCACCACCGGCCCCAGCTGCTCAGGCCAGCCATGGGGTCTTCACAGAAATTAATTACAGTTGATCTCATTTATACTTTCTTCTTGGCGTCTTTTTACCTTTTTAATTTTGTGAAGCTGTGAGATTGAACTCTCAGTGATCTTTTGAACACTGAGTCTGAATAACACAGATCGTGGCAGCCTGAGGAACAGCGTGGAAGCCGCATGTGCTCTTCCCACAGAACTGGCCGCAGGCAGGAGGGAACGGGGTGTCTGCGAGGCCTGGCCACACACGGCCCCTTTCTATTCTGAGATGAGTTTGTTGTACTTGAACCTCAGGCCTTTCATGTGATGACAATTTAAAATCTATTTCAAATATATATTTTAGGAAATATACACATTTTAAAACAGTGCTGTGTTAAATTTTTTATGGAAAAATACTAACATTCAGAGTTCCTTCTGGCTGTAGAAGTTCTATGACTTTAATATGTTAGCTTTTTTTTATTTGGATGATAAAGAGCTGATTTGTACTTAGACATTTTTTGACCAGATGTGAAGTCAAGATGACTTCAACATTAAAAATGCCTGAGACACCATTTTGAAAGATGTGAGTCATGAGAAAGTACAACTTCCTCTTGGGTTAAATAAATAAATAAAATAAAAATCCAAACCTTGAAATAGCCAAAGCATGTCACTTAAAAATAGCTGCTCCCTACTCAAGAAAACCCATAGCTCATGGTTTTGCTGCTTGCCCCAGGGGTTGAGGAAGTGCTTCAGACTGTCGCAGGGTTCCTGAGCATGCCACTTGTGCACCTTTGCAGCAGAGGTGAATTTGCTTTGGGGTGGTCAAGTGGCTGATGCTCTTTGATTTTCTGCTTAAGGTGTAGAATCAAATAGCTGAATTGGGGCTGAAAGGTCTTAGAGCCCATCCTTCTTAAAGCACTCAATGGTTAAGTGACTTGTCAACCATCATGCAACTAGTTAGCATAAGGGACAGCACCCAGACTGCAGGAAGTTCAGTCCATGGGCCCTCATTAATGTTTTTGTGGGTAAGGGGATGAGAGAAGTCTGTGGAATTTTTGTCAAGCACAAAGACCTTTTGTGGATTTTAAAACCTGACATTTAACGAGTGCTCCTGTGTGCTGAGCCC